CCAGCCCCTGCCTGGCTCTGCAAGAGTGAGTCAGCTCAGCCAACAGCATCTCCTCGCCCGGGCTTCATGATCCCAAGCCACGTGTGCTCCTAACAGAGCACTGCCAGAGGGATTCTGAGTGGCTCCTGACCTCCTGCACCCCTTCCTGGTGGGCACAGGTGCCTTCTGCTCCTGCTGGCTCTGGACATGTGGTAGGTCTGTGTGGGAGAAGGCTCAGCAGTCCTCTCTTAGGTCAGGGTCCGCAGTGCTACTGAAAGAAAATTAAATGGGAAATATGAAATAGAAAGCATGGGGTTGAGGGGAAGGGATTCACAGCTCGCAGACATTGAGGCAGGATTTGTTTAGGGGTTTTTGGTAATTTTTCTTTTCTTTTCTTCCACAAAATTTGAGTGCTTTTTCTTGTATTTGTCAGGGAGGATTTTGCTGGGATGCATTGTGTGTCAGAGAGCTCGGGGTTTGTGTTGCTGATGAGAACAATTGATTTTTATTTATTTGTTTATTTACTGCGGGAGAGAAACCAAGCCATAAGTTTTAAGACTTGAGCTGCTCTGGAGGAATTTTATTTAGAGGAACAGCCTGATTGTGTTGCTGTGTGTGATTGACACAATCTCCTCTAATCCTATTGCCAGTGTGGGCTCTGCAGCAGAGCCCTGGGATCTCTCACTCTGGTGCCCAGGTCATCTCAAGGTGGTCTCTGGCAGTTCAGGGTGCTTCTGCCCAGGGCTGGGTGCCATCTCCTGCCCTGGAGCTCAGCTGCACATCCCACAGCCCTGGCACACCACCAGCTCCCTGCCAGCAGGAACGATGCAAACTGCAGGTTTTTGGGTTCTTCCCCATTTCCCACCCTGCCTTGTTCCTTGTTTTGCACTGCTTCAGAGATGACTTGGGTCCCAGATGGTGCCCAAAGGTGGTGGCCATCCCTGGGCAGTTTGGTGGCTGTGTAGGAGCCAGGGCTCTGCAGCAGCTGGACACACAGGGCTCAGCAAACTCATCACTCAGCAGAGCCTGGGGCGGGGATATCACTGTCCTGAAGTGGTTTTGGAAGGTGACCAGCTGGAACCTTTTAATCCCTGGAGCAGAGAGGTTCCCTGGGACCTGATCAGTGTGCTGAAAGCTGCCTGCTTGCTAGAGTACTTTCTATATTATTTTTTAAGCATGATAATTACACTGCTGTGATTGCCAAGGTAGGGGCACGCCTGCCAATATGATGGTGCCTCCTGCCAGCTGATGTCTCCTGCCTGGCTTGGGGAGAGCTGCTGTGGTGGGAAGCACAGCCATGTGGATCCATCCCCATCCATGTCGCTGGAGGTGTGGGGTTGTAGCCTGTTACCGTGTCCCTGCACCCCAAGGTGCCCTTTTTGTGTGCACCCCAAAAGGGCCTCCAGCAGCTCCGTGCTGCCCGGTGCAGAACCCTGTGTTACCTGTGAAGTGTCCCCCAGGAAAGCCCTCCTGTGGGTGGGTGCTGCCAGGTCCCTGGTTTCAGAGGAGCTCCTCTCCCCCAGGAAGGTGGCAGGCAGTGTTTATCTCAGTTGTGGTTGCTGGGGCTGGAGAGTGACTGTGTTAACACGCAGCAGATGGGCCTGGTGAATAGGTGCTGGAGATAACCCTGTTTCCTCATGCAGCCTTGTTGCCTGCTGGGAAAGGAGCCAGCCAGGCTGTTTAAGGAGAAGTGTGGAGCTTGGACAGGCTGAGGATGGATTTCTCCTTCAGCTGGTTCAGTTTTGGGAGGAGGTTGTTGCTGTGGGACAGAGGCTGCTGCCACAATCCACCACGTCCTGGTACAGGTTGGACCATGTAAAGGCAGGATCCAGTCTATGCCCACTGGGATCTGTGGACCCTAAATTTAATTCTATTTCAGGCAGAGACTGGAATTGTCCATCAGCCCTAGGCAGGGGTGTGGGGAAAGCAGGCTGCAGGCTGCTGTGCTGCCGGTTGCCAAGGCTGGGAGGGGGATTGGTGACTGGGAACCCAGAACTGGGGGCACAGCTGAGGGTGTCCCGTGTCCTCTGCCATGCTGTGTGCCTCCCACTCACTTTCAGGGAAAACCGTGGGGCTGCTGGGCACCACGATGTGCAACAGAAGGCAGGGGAGTCTCCTGCCAAAGCCTGTCACACTGGTGGCCCTGCCACTGCAGGACCTTTGGAGGAAAAGCTGTTGGCCCTTCTGGAAGGCTTTTTGGTTTTCCCGAGAAAGTCGAGTGGGTGGAAATCCCAGCAGCAGCTGGGCAGTCTTAGGGGCCCACTCCTGTTGCAAGGGGTGAGAAGATGGGACCAGGAGGGGGACAGTGTGACCAGAGAATGTCACAGCTCCCCAGGGCCATTCCAGGACACTTCAGTGCCCTGGCTTCCACCTCTCTCCCAGTGCCTGGAGCCTGGATCTCCTGCCCAGCCAAGTGAAATGGTGCTGCCTTCCCTGAGCCTGCAGCTTGTTACTGATGCCCCATCAAGTAGGCCTGGGGATGTGCCTCATCCCAGTGTCCCCTCGTGTGGTACTTCTGTCTTTTAGGTGATTCTAGGTTTTCTCCTCTCTGTGGGAAGGAACAGGGTGATTCCTTCCACAGTCCCATGGTGGCACTGCTAGAAGCCTTTCCTTGCTGGGTAGGACCATGTGTGTGTGAGGGATGGACAGGGGGAACACTGGTGATTGTTTGTCCCAGTCCACAGAAAGCACTGCGGCATCCACATTTTGGGTGGATTTTTTGGAGCCAGTGCTCTCCTGCACCGTGCACACAGCATGGAGGAGGCTGGAGGTGGATGGCACAGGTTGCTGACAGCCTTCCCTTGCCTTTTGCTGATGCCTGTGGTTTGATGAACCTCACCAGTAAGACAAATGGATGTAACAGGATCACAGTGCCCTTCATGCCCCCATTGGCTGCTCCTTCCCCTCCTCTGCCTGAGCAATGATCTCCCTTTCAGATGTTGTGGGCATGGTGCTGCCACAGGGGAGAGGGATGCACAGTGGTTCCCAGCTGTAGGACTTGAGGCAGAAAAATCAATGTTTATATTTCTCTTAGCTGGGAATAACTCCAGTAAATAAACACCTTGCAGAGTTCAAACGATGCAGACACCACATATGAACCAGAATGAATTTTCAAGCTCTCTCCTGCAATAAAATGGATTTCTTGATTTCAGGCTTTATTTAGAGAAGTGTTTGATTTAAGAAGGGAGTTGAAGGTTATATCTGATCTCTGTGAGGTGGAGCTGCTCTTCCAGTGGCTGTGGAGCGTGGTGTGGAAATGGGGTTGGATTGCTGCTGCTGCTGGAGTGTTCCCAGGAGAGTTTCTCATGTACCAGCCAAAGGCAGGGTCACTTCCCTCCTCCCCAGGGGAGTTCTGGCTGCATCCTCTGCCCCTCCAGACCTTGCTGCTGCATTGCAGTCTGCTCAGAGCCTTGGGAAGCTGTGTGTGCAGGTGCTGCTGCTTGGGATTCTGGAGGCCAGCCAGGACCCAGTTCCTTCCACAGGCTGCACCGGCGTCTGGAGCTGTCTGTGCCTGCCCTTTATGGGATTAAACACCCTCCTCCCCTTTGTTCAAGCAGCCACTGTGCTGTTTGAACTTGGTTGTTGTAGGGATGCTGGAGAGGGAGCCAGTGGTGAGCCCACTGAGATGCAGCTGCCATGACTTGGGCTGCTCTTCCTGGGAAGAGCTGAGGGCATGGCATGGGCTTGGAGGCTCCGTCTGCACAGTTGGCCCTGTCTGTGGTCTCAGGCAAGCAGAGCAGGGTGGAAGGGCTTGGAAAGGGCCTGCTCTGCTGGAGAGAGGCACAGCTGGAGCTGGAGCTGGAGCTGGGGTTCAAGATTGGATTGATGACTTGGCCACCTTATCTGGGAGCAGGAGTGCGTGGAGGGAGGGCTCCAGGCTCCCAGTGCATGCTCAAATGAGGGAGGGCTGGTTCATCCTTGTGTGAAGGAGGAGGAAGCAGAAAGCTCTGCTTGAGCCCCACCTTTGCTCCAAGCTGCAGGAAGTGACCCCGAGCAGGGGACAAAGGGCACCATGCAGGGCTGGTCTCAGTGTGAGTGCACACATGGCAGCCTGAAAGCACCAGGAGGGCTGCACTGGGGGAACGCTGCTCCCTGCAACCCAGGGATCGCTGTGGTCCCTGGAGCTGCTGCTGCTGCTGCACTTTTGGAATATTGAGCCTGCCTAGAAAACGGAATTGTGGCTTCCTGCCCCAGGACAAGGTGGTTCTGTCGTGTGTTGGACCCATTCTCCCATCAGGGTTTCAGGCATTCCCAGGCAACGTTGGAGGTTGAAACCAAGAGCTGGTACAGCCAGAAGGGCATTATGGCCTCTCTACTTCACAGATAAGTGGGGAAGCAGCTGGAGCTGGGACATGGTGCTCCTCTTTGCTGAGCTTGGAAGCTGCTGGTGAGCTGTCCTGGATCTGCTGCTCCCAGGCTGACTGGGCCAGGCTTCCAGCCCCAAAACCTACAGCCAGGTAGAAGCACCTCTGCACACCAAAGCCTGCCTTCCTTGGCTTGGTGGTGTCTGGTGTGGGGTAACACAGTTATCCCAGGGTGGAGCTGAAAGGAGAGGAGGGAGACAGGAACAGAAAGTGAGACGGGGGTGGGGTGGAGCAGAGAAGGAGAAAAGAGTTGATGTTGGAACAGCAAGAAGGCAGAGCAGGGTGCCACCTCCTCCCAAGAGTTCCAAGAGTTCCGCAGTGTGTCTGTGCCCTGCAGACACACAAAGTGCCAGGGTTGGGCACAGAGATGGTGTTTGCTTACCAGGGCACAACCCCACTGTGAGAATGGGGTCAGTGGGTGCTGAGCTGCTTCTATTGCCCTTCCTGGATCATTTTGGATGGAAGTCAATGCATTGCCATACAGCTGGAGAATTTGTCAGTGCCAGAGGAGCAAGCGCCAATAGAGCAGCGACTAGATTGATGGCTGTTCTCTTCCTGGAAGCAAGGTCCTGACCATGCCAGCCCAGGAAACACGTGGTACCTCTGCCTATTGAGTGGCCTTGGCCTCAGCCTCACGCTGTGTCTTCTTTCTTGCAGCCACTCCCACTCTCCTGGCTCCATGGCTGCCGTGCGCGAGTGGTCCTGCACGCGCTGCACCTTCCTGAACCCCGTGGGCCAGCGGCAGTGCTCCATCTGCGAGGCCCCCCGCCAGAAGCCCGACCTCAACCACATCCTGCGGCTCAGCGTGGAGGAGCAGAAGTGGGCCTGTGCCCGCTGCACCTTCAGGAACTTTCTGGGCAAGGAGACCTGTGAGGTGTGTGGCTTCACCCCCGAGCCGGGACCCGGTGGCTCCCCCTTGCCCATCATCAATGGCATCTTGCCCAAGCCTGCCGTGCTGATGGAGCCCAAGGGCACGTCCAAGGAGGAAGCTGCCAAGGCAGAAAGCAGCAGCGAGGACTCAGAGGGGAAGAGCCCCGATGAAGCAGAGCTGGAGAGCGGCTGGGCCTGCCAGCGCTGCACCCTGCACAACACGCCCGTGGCCAACTCCTGCTCTGCCTGTGGTGGCCCACGCAAGCTCTCCCTGCCCAAAATCCCACCAGAGGCGCTGGTCGTCCCTGAAGTCATCACCCCGGCCGGGTTCCACATGGCCCCCTCCACCCCGCAGCCTTCAGTCTCCGCAGAGATCTCTGATGGCGATGCCGTGGCCACCCCGGGCCCCGTGGCTATGGAACAAGAGGTGCAGAAGATCCCAGCCTTCAGCCCCTTCTCCCCGGGGCTCCAGAACAACCCCGTGCCCCGAAGCCGGCGGGAGGTGCCCCCACAGCTGCAGATGCCGGGCCCCGAGGGCTCCCAGCCCGCGGCCACGGGTGCCGTGGGACAGAAGGGCTCTCCCCAAGGTCAGGCCAGGGCCGCCCCTGCCGCACGCTTCCCGGACCTGCTGTCCAACAAACGGCTGAGCGTGCTGGAGGAGGAGATGGAGGTCAGTCCATCCCACTGGAAGTGCAGCTCCTGCTCCCTGCTCAACTCCGCCGGCGCCAGCAAGTGCGAGGTTTGCAGCACCCAAAAAGGCAGCGACACCATCAACCTGGTGGGGGACTCGGTGAGGTTCACCCCGTGCAGCCCCTCCAGCCCCGACTTCACCACCTGGTCGTGCTCCAAGTGCACCCTCAAGAACCCCACGCAGGCCCAGAAGTGCAAGGTGTGCGGCTCCTCCAAGCTGCATGGCTTCCAGGAGCACGGCGGGGAGCCGGGGCCGCGCTGCCCCGACTGCGGCGCCTGCGACAGGGACAGGGACAGGGACAGGCCCGGCTGCTCGTGCAGCGCCAAGGCGCCCTCGGCGCGCAAGGTGGCCCGGCTGTTCCCGGCCCCGGCGGCTGCGGCGCAGGACAGGCCGGGCCAGTGGGCCTGCCCCGCCTGCACCCTGCTCAACGAGGGCAAGGCCAAGCACTGCGGCGCCTGCCACACCCCCCAGCAGTACGTGGCACAGCACAAGGGCCTCAAGCCCCTCAAGAGGAGGGAGAGCATGCACGTGGAGAAGAGGAGGCAAACGGATGAGGGCGAGGCCAAAGCCCTGTGGGAAAACATCGTGACCTTCTGCCGGGAGGTGAGTGCAGTGCTTGTGCGTTTCTGCCTCTCCCGTAGGTCTGGGGCAGCATCTTCCATGCCTTGGGCTCCAGGGATCTTCCCTTGCAGCAGCTGCATGCTGGTTGTTGGCACTGAAATGTCGTATTTTGGTGCAGAATGATCTCCAGGGTGAAGACAGGCCATAGAGCCCACTCCTGGTGCAAGGGTGAGGAAATCTAAAACCTTGCACTAAACCTGTTAATTCTGAAACCCAGTGGTATTTTAGATTAGTGAGAGAGAACTTCTGGGATGAAGGGGACGTCCCTAGGTGGTCAGTCCATCTCTTTTCAGTGTCTAGTGGTGGGAAAGGCAGAGAGTGTGCCCAGGTTTGCTGGTGGCACGCTGTCCATGGATGCAGGAAGTCTGGGATGCAGCAAGCAGAGGCTCGGGATGAGAGGGCAGGCAGAGGAGCTACTGCCACTGCCATGAACTGCAGGTGTTACAGAACCATGGGCTGGGCCTTGGTGTTCTTGGTTTGGGTGTTGCAAATGCAGAGGTGCAGCACAAATGGCTCCCCCTGTTCTGGCAGGCCAGCTGAGCTGCAGCTCTAGGCTGGCTCTAGTTGAAGGTCTCAGGAGTACATGCCAGCACACACCTTCCCGCTGTGAGCTATCTGGTCCAGTCACTTGGGTTTCAGCCTCAAACACCACTCTGTTGGCCTCATTTTTTTTCCCTGTGTGGCATTCAAAGCTCCTGTGAATGCTGCTTTCTCTGGCCTCCTTCTGGGGGAAGCCTCCAGCTCTTCTGGACCAGATGGAGAGGGAGTTGCAGTCCCATTTTGACGTACAAACAAGGCTTTTCCTGCCTGGTCTGAGGATAGTGTCCATTCCTGTGCCTCCACTGCACAGTCCAGGGAACACTGATGTTTGGCTCAGAGGGGAAGCTCTGAGAATGATCTTGTTTGGGTTTGTGTTTTTTTTTAATTGCTGTGTGTCCTTCCTAACAGGCGTGGGTGTCTTTATAGCAGAGACCCAGATTCTGCTTATCCCCATCTTTTAAGCAAGTGAATAGCCTCTTTTGTAGGCAGGGAACATCTGTTCCATCAGGAATCAGGCCTGAAAGATGAATCACGATGATGGCCAGGCTGAATTAGCAGCATGGCACTGCCAGGAAGGGGAGGCTGCCTTGCCCTGTCCCACAGCTGATCCTGTTGTGCTCCTTAACCCACAGTAATGGGCTGTGAGATCCATCTCCCAAAATTCCCCTCCAGCCCAGCCCCAGCTGTGCTCTGGCACTGTTCAGGTTAGGCCTGGCAGCAGTGGAGGACAGCGCTGCTCCTGTCCCTGTGCTCCTGGTCAGGCTGGCAGGGGAGGGCCCTGTGAGCTCCCTGCTGCCCAGGCTGCTCAGCCTTGCCCTGGAGGAGCCAGGCTGGCCGAGTTCTGCTCCGTCTGTTTGTCCCCCTGCCCCTTGTCATGTGGAGCAGCTCCTCTTGCTGCTCCCTGCCAGCATTTCTGCTCGAGCTCCTGCTGTGGGTTTTCCTTCCTCTGCTATTCCAGGGATGCCTTTTCCAACCCTTCTCAGTGTGTGGTGCCTATTTTAGCTTTACTCTTCTGTTGGGGAGCAATGCAGAGCTGGCCTCTTCCACTGGAATCATGGAATCAGAATGGCTTGGGATGGAAGGGACCTTAAAGCTCATCTCATTCCAACCCTGCCAACCCACCTCACCTTCCACCACACCAGGTTACTCCAAGTCCTGTCCAGCCTGGCCTTGAACACTTGCACAGATGGGGCAGGCACAGCTTCCCTGGGCAGCCTGTGCCAGGGCATCCCCACCCTCACAGGGAAGAATTTTTCCCCAGCACCCAATCAAAATTTCTTCCCTTTCGGTTTAAAACTTTTCCCTTGTCTCATCAGTGCTTGTCCATGTGAAAAATTGCTTTCCCTCTTACTAATAAGCCCCCTTTAGGCACTGGAAGGGGTCTGAGGTCTTCTCCATGGAACCTTCTCCAGGTGAGCACCCCCAGCTCTCTCGGCCTGGCTCCAGCGCAGAGGGGATCCTGCCCACAGAGCATCTCCATGGTGTCCCCTAGACCTGTTCTAACAGATCCACGTATTTGTTATGCTGAGTCCTCCAGAGATGGACAAAACTGGGGTCTCACAAGGGCAGAGCAGAGGGGGAGAATCCTCTCCCTCATGTCCTCATAGCCCTGCACAGCAAGTTCCTGCAGAGCCCAGAGATCGTGTGCAGGGATGGGTCCCAGCCAGGTCCCCAGCCAGGCTGGTGGCTGCTCCTCAGCTGCACGGGGCAGATGCTCCCCGAGAGAGCAGGACAGCTATTAGCTGAAAAACACCCTCCTGCAAAAGAGGAGCTGGAGTTGCTGATTGGGGCACCACAAAGGAAGTATTCAGGTAGGATTGCCACAAAAGAGGAGGTCAGCTACTAATTGGGTGTGCGTAAAGCTAATTTAAATCAGAGCCAGCTTTTGCTGAAAGAATTTAATTTAATTAACAATAACAAAGAAACACCTGTTCTCATTTCACCCTGTGTTGGACTGAAAAAGCCACCCTTCTCCACTTTGTGAAGTTCTGTGCTTCCATTCCTGTGGTTAATGCCTGTGGGATTACCTGCCCTTCCACCATCCTATTTATTTATGACGCAGCAGCTATTGCAGGAGGCCTGGGACCTGGGATACCTTCACTCTGAAATTGCTTGCCTGGTTGTGGTCTGGCTGAATGCAATTGCAAAAGCTGCCCCTCCCATCCCCCATGGATGTGCCTGGGGGGTGGCACAGGGCTGCCAAGCCCAGCGTGTCCCCTCTGGGGCAGGGACAAGGCTGGTTGAGGTATGTTGGCGTGCCAGGTGGCTCCTCGGAGCCTTGCTGTTTGCAGGCTTTGCTGCTTGTGGAGGCAGCCAAGGCCCCCCACAGCCCAGCTTTTAGCACCAGCACAAAGTGTGAGACGGTCCCTGCCCAGGGAGGCTCCTCTGAAACACAAAAAGGCAGATTGGAGTCACAGCCCGGAGCTTGAAACCAGAGAGGTGAGCCTGAGGCAAGGCTGAATGCTGGACCTGAAGCACAAGAAGCATCTCTGCTGCTGCCAGCACGCACCAGCATAGTCCTGCCACCCTGCAGGGCTGGGAAGGGACTGCCTGGGCCAGACAGGAGGACTGGGGACTCTGCTGTCTCTCAGGGGAGCAGTGTGAGGCTCTCCAGACCCCCCAGTCCCGAGTGGCTCCACTGATGCTCTCTTGCCTTTTGCCCTCACAGAACAAAGTCAATTTTGTGGACGACAGTTTCCCCCC